TAGACTTTTAGAACAAAAAGTTGGAATGAAGCTTAACGAAATTGTTTATAACAGACCATCTAAGTAAGCAAACTTTTAACATTGTTTCATTATGGAAATATAGAAACTAATAATTTATTTATAGTGCAATCGCATCTCCAAGCCGCGTTCATGTGGAGTCAGAGTTTGGAACCGAACAAAAGAATCTTGACGAGGACAGTATGTATAGGGAAATTAAGAGACGGAAATGGTCATGAAAATTGTGGTGGCATGAATTGATTTTCTCAAAAAAAAAAATAAAAAATTGATAATAATTCTTGAAGATCCTTTAACAAATCTAAGAATTATTAAGTTTTAAAGTCGAAAACTTTTATCTTTCAATCTGTACATGAAATATAATAACCATTCGAGGATAAACGCGTCAGAATTTATTTTTAAATTGTTTCTTAGAACTGATGAGAATTTGATATGATTTTTTTTACGTAGCTTTTTAGCGTTAGATATAGTAATAAAAATTTATTTAAATTTTATTGTCAATCACTTAATATACGGATAAGTCTTTAATTTGAATTTTTTTACAGGGAAGTCCTCAAAATTGGGTCGGAATTCATCGTAGTTGAGCGGCATTTGGTAATACCAGCCGACTACGTCTATCATAAGATTATATTTTACTCAATAAATGGTTATGTTTCATTAGAAAAAAATTAATTTCAGCTCAACCAACCACGATTCCGAGACGAACCAAGCATAACCACCGAATCGGTTACGTACGAATATAATAAATGATTGGGTGGTTATGCTTGAGGGGTTACGATTTCGATCCGGAATTCTGGACTTCTTATATGAATGAGTTTTATATTGTAAAATTATTACATAAAAATTGTAACAAAAAAAAAAACTACTCTTTAACTAGTTAACTAGCAGATTAGTTAATATTCCTATCTTACCGAGTTTGACACGTTAAATTTTTTGGAGGATCTGATCGGAATCCACTATGATTTATAAGGTCCGTAAAATCTGGATTCCGTAAGATAACAAGCCCCAAATATGCGTTTAAATATACCAACAAAAGCAATCTTGAGTCTAGTTCGTGAGCTAAGTATTTTAACGTCTCAATCACTATGCTTTATGATTAAGCAAAGTTTGAGCTATAAGTACAGTATCCTCCAAAAGTTTATCACGGTTACACAAAAAACTTAACATAAAATTTAGCAATACGTATACGTATTACGTATTACGCAAATTAATAATATGCAATAACTTCGGCAATACGATTTGGCATATTGTTTATTAAGTTCACGAAAATTGATGATTAAGCATATTCCATTCCTTTAAAAGTGCTGTTTTCAACGCTCCATATGTTCTTGGTTGTGGTCTTCGTTGCTGATAAACTTTTGGAGCATACTGTACTATTGGCTGAAAAATGCTTTGACATTAAAAAGTTAAACTACAAAGTATACTTGGGACATAAATTTACTGCTCGTAGATGCGCGTTATTTCGGAAGTGCGTGGGCGTCATTTCGAAGCTATACATGTTATTTTTAGGTGGCACGATTTTCGATATAACGGTTATGTTATTAACTACCGTACAGCGCGGACTATAGTATCACGGATACGATACATTCCACAGCTAAAATCCAAGTTAGTACCCGGGTATTTCACTCTGTAAAGTACCCGGGTATCTTGTATTCAACTGCGAAAAATTTTTATAGAGGGTACTTTGATGTGGGGGTACTATGGTCCGCGCTGTACGGTATATAATTTATATATGATCAAATAAGTTAAAGGAATTTAATATCAACATGTGAATAAATCAGTTATTACTTTTTTTATTTATCACAACTTTCAACATCATTTTATGGCTTAAAATTCCTTATATATCTGTCAAAAGTAATAATCAGACATTCAAAGATTTTGATTGAAATAGTTTATTATCTTTAATATCTCAAATATGTCTTGGCGAAATAGAATAGAAATACTTACAATTTTAACATCCAAACTAGTATTTGTCTGTTCGCTTTCCATTTTGTCATTATTGATGTCACGAAAGTTTTTTGTCATATTTATGGAAGTTCGATAAAACAAGTTTCAGTTATGATCAATCAAATACGTACTGTACTGTACCTACGTGCGTAGAATTGTCGTGGCTAAAGAATTACATGAATCTAACTAATAATAAGATCTGGTGTAAAAACATTTGATCCTTATTCTTACTTTGTTTTATTAAATTTGATATTAAGAAAATTTATGAAAAACTGATTTACCTAAGGCCGTTCAAAGTTGATTGGTTGTTTAACGTCAACATTTTGAGCTCAGGCTCGAGGGGATTTAAATTGTCAACCTTAATAACATTGAAGATTATCCTGCATTGTGAACAACCCTAGCATTCCTTCGAAAAATGTACGAATCGGAAATCTCCAAAATTCGTTTATATTAAGGTTTGTTTTCGTATTAGGGTTTTGAGAGTAAAGAATTCGGTAGTAAAATTGTACAAGGAATTCTTTTTGTTAGAGCGCAAAAGTGTGGTTTCTTATGTTAATTTTTGAGAAATAAATGACTTTTGAAAAAAAAGCGGTTTGTTTTGTACATTTTTGAGGGAATGCTAGGGTTGTTAAGAGGGGATGACGTTAAACAACTATTCAACTTTGAACGGTCTAAACATTAATTAAACACATGTCGAACTTGGCATAACGTTTATTATAGAAATTCATGTTACATTTACATGGGATATTATATAATAGCTCCAGTGATGCGATTTTAAAAAAACTGTTATTTCAACACATGGTTTTACTTATTTTCGAGTCCCAATACAGAAAGTTTAGTAGTAATCTACGCCTGACTTTAATATTGTATAATCTATTATTTTGTAATGGAATGTAAGGTACAGACGCCGTAGCCGGACTTCCAAACCAAGTCTGCTTGCAGTGGGGTTTTCCTTTCGGGATCCATGAGGGGTTGTCCCCTTATTCGATTTCATCGAATGCCCCTTCTTCGATCATAAGTTTAAATATTATCCAACAATCGAATTTTGATTGGAAACGTTGACAACCAGAAAAAAATGAAACATGTGAA